CCTTTTTGTCTGGGCCTCTCGGGGCTGAAACAGGGTAAGGAAAGGCAAATCCTCCCCGCTGCCTGAAAGTTTATGTTTTTAGTTAGAAGCTAGCATGAGCTATTAAACAGGACTCAGAGGAAGACAGGCTCTAACGCAGCAGATCGCACACCACCAACTCTAGTTTTATACTCTCAAAATACCCCGAAGCCCATAAAATGAATTTAAAATGCACGCGATTACTTCATCTATCAGCCACACAGCTGAGCAGCCATCAGTGCCTCGAGCTGCCGGGCTGAAGGAATGACACGCCATTTCTCTTCATAGGAATTATACATTAGGTTTGGTTTTGTAAGCAACATCAGAACACCCACCACTCTTCCTGTTCCAGAAGCACAATACCCTTTTGTCTATCTCCTCTAGAATAAAAGTAGCTTGTTTACAATAACTGACATTACATGAGTAAGAACAAACCAAATCAATTAGCCCCACTACTAAATTTCAGCAACGTGCAATTTTTTTGTTCACATACGCAGCTTGCGTTTTTCCCCAAACTCAAACCGAGCAAACCCTAACTCAAATATATTCATTTCCAAAAGGCTCTTGGAGGCAAAGGTTTCATCTTCTCATACCAGCCAACACATTAGACATCTGGACATTAGTTGACTGTAATTGATTAGAGTTTGTGATTTAATTTAAAAGCATTCTAAGGAAGATATTAATCTCAGAGCTCTGAAGGCAAGAGAGATGTGTTGGAGAGAAAAATAGATTTAATTCCCTGGGCAACTGTACTAAAAGGTACCCTTGAATTCCCAGTAGCTTTGTCATAAACCACATCCAGAAGTGACAAATAAGGAAGAAGCAGGATAATGTGGCAGCACTGTCCCTAGCTAACATTTCTACAGCAAGCAACCTTAACTCCTCAGTTTAGCTAGGCATCTAGCAAGAGTTAGATTTCTTCTCATCTGTGAACGTATCGGTGTTACACAGACGAACATGCTTATGCAGATACGCAGCTACAAGTGGCATAAACTTGATTTGTTCAAGCGCGTACGATCTGCTTGAACAACGATCCTCCACCAGCACTCCTGTCTCCAGCAAGGTCCAACTCTGTCAGTCAAGCATCCATTGCTGCTGTTTCTCAGCAGAGAGAAGGCTGGCTCCGGAGCAACAAACACTGCCTGATCCCCTCACACCTCCTGCTTCACCCACCGCCAAAAGCAGGGGGCCACAGAAGGAACTGAGGCGCGAAAGGAGGCAGCGGCGGCTGCTTTTCTTTGGAGTCAGAGTCCTGACATTCAGACCCATGTTGGACGACTCCACAGTATGCTTGAGTCCACAATACTACGAGGTAGAAGTCTCATTACAGATGAGACTTGGCGTAAAGGTTAACCAATTTGCCCAGATTCAAGCTAGAACTGAGAGAAGAACATAAAAATTCTTCTAGGTTTGTTTGTTTGTTTATTTTTAATTCTTTACGGCAGAGGAAGATTCCAGGCTCCCTGCCCCATTTAACATCTTTCACATCTAGGGAGTTGGCCTATGAATTCCTTACTTGCCTCAGCTACATTAACTCAGTCTCATTAAATTCTACTAGCTAAGGGATTGTTTTCTGAGAAGTGAATAAAACATTATCCAGCTGACCATCTGGATATCTGGAGCGAGCCGGTCTCAGTTAATAAACTGGGAAGACAAGTTATAAAAGAGCTGCAAACTAAAATTGGTACAGATATGTTACCAGCACAGCTCTCTGTTGTAACTCGCTAAGAACAAAGTCATAGTGTTACCTGAACTGCAATCCAACTGGCGTTAACGGCGTGCTCTCCAAACGGACCAAACCCTGGAAGAGAAGTAAAAATCCACAGTGATGAAGTCATCCTCACAGGTTTGACTAAACTTAAAGCTGCAAAGCAGTCTGCGCTTTCCTGGTTTATATATCCTGACAGAAAACCCACTTCTTCTAATGCCTAATCCCTATTTACTTCACATCCAAGTACTAAATAAGAGACCTTCACAGAAATGTTTGAACTATACACCTTGTACTGTGAAGGAAAACAATAGCTTGCCTCAAAAGAAACTCTTTTTTCCCAACAGACACTGAGGAAGCATGTTTTTTCCTTTCTGACCAGGTTAGAAAAACTTGTTATTAACAGATAAGTTGACCGATATCAAGGAAGGAGAATTATTATTGGATTTTCTATTCCTGATTGTTTTAGCCCACAGCAGATGCTTCCACAAATGCGGACAAGCCTGTCTCAAATATTTCTTCTCTGCTCAGGTCTTCACCGAGATCTCTGTTAGGATTAGTTATGCCTTACAAGGAAATAAAATACTGCTGACAACCCACCTACACCAAGCAGCAAAGGTTATGATAGCGTTATCAAAAATACTTACTCGCCACATCTAAATTTCCTAATGAGTAACTTAGAGTTAACTAGTAATCCATAACATCTTTTCCTGAGCAAGCACACAAAGGTTAAGCAATTTATCTGGGTGCAACGTCAATATGCTTTAATTTAAAATGTCAGAGTTACCCTATGAGCCTAATGCAATTAGGAGCCATAAATTTTGTCTAACTCGTGAAAGGATTTGAGAGGGACTACAAATATTATATGACACGTTAATGGAAACATTCTATTTGCTATCAACAGTGAGTCTGAGGTTATACTGCACATGACGACGTAAGGAATTTGCACGGCATGGGCTCATCCACGCTGATGGATCTCTTACAAGCTAACCAATGTCGGTATCTCCCCAAAATAAATCTCCCAAAGGTCTCCACAAAATGAAACTGTAGGTGTGTTTTCCTGTGAGCAAACCCCCAACGTTACTAAGACAAGCTACGACTGCAGCATGGGCAAACAAGTCGAATAATCGAATGCCTTTTCAGCTGCTTCTGCAATTCAGCCATGTCCTACAGGACTCTCTGGAAACAAACAATCGCGACCTGCTTATGTTTCATTCCTAAAGAAATCGTGGTAGTCTTACAAGAGAAATAAAATACATCTATTCCTTTTTAACAATTCAACCACTGGAAGGCTGAAGTTCTACAGGTGCCCACGCATGTAACGTAACCCTCTCACTCTGGAGCCAAACGCAAACTGGCACAAATACAACTGTGGGCAATTGCTCCTCTGACTCATCTCCTATACAGATCCCTCATGTTATCTCTTTCGCAGAAGATAAGCAACTTTTGTCAGCAGTATCAAACTCCACCGAGCATGCCCAGGAGTTCCTCCGCATCCACAATAGGGCCCTCCAAGGCTCATTAGCAGTAAACCAGCTGCAGAGATCTTTATGGGATTATCTCCTTAAACAGTTCTAAAAAAGAAATTGCGCACAAATAATACTTATCCTCAGCGAGCACATGCTCGTAACTGAACGGGAACACAACGCCATTGCTAGTTTTAAAAAGGAATTTAGCATGACACTAACGACTGATTATTGAATACGGGTAGACCTGACAAGATAACCACTGCATTTTAGAAACAGACTTCCCTGAAAACAGGGGGAAAAAAAGAGAAAGAAGTACTGCAAGCAGCAGAGTATTTACTGACGCAAGTTTTCTGTTTAGTCACCGCCGCTCAGCACTAGATACAGGTTTGGGAAAGCCAGAATGTGCCACCTGCTTCTTCGCTCTCCGCAACTGTTCTCTGCAAAGACACTTGCCTCCAATTAAAACCGCTCCAGCGCATCAACGACAACGAACCCCTCGCCCCCGCGCTTGCTATTCAAACGGCCTCAACTTCAGCTGCTGGGGGGGGAGACCTGAATAGTTTCACCGAGTTCCCCATTTGTCACAGAACTGCCTTCCCCACAAATCAAGCCGTCCGGCCTTTGTACCCCGGGGAAAGGAGCCTGACAAGCTCTCGCCTGCGACGCCGGGGCCTTTCATTCCCTCGCTTATTCTTCCCTGAGGCGCTTCTGCCGTGCTGCTTGGGTGATTTTGATAACAGCTTCGACACCTTGACGGCTCGGGATGGGGCGGTCAGTGAGCAAATACCCCCCCCCCCCCCCCCCCCCCCCCCCTTGTTTTTCCCGCTCCTTGGAAGATTCAGTCCCCTTCTTTCCCCAGCCAGCAAACTCTTGGGGAGGATCAGGGATGGAAGAGGGGGATCCCAAAGCCACCCCCCCACCAAGCGTTAGGAAAACCGCCGCAAAGCCCCTCACCGAACAAC